CATGGGGGGGTTTGGGGTGAGCACGGGGGGGTTTGGGGTGAGCACGGGGGGGTTCGGGGTGAGCACGGGGGGGTTCGGGGTGAGCACGGGGGGGTTTGGGGTCTCCGTGCCCCCCCCGCTGACCCCCCCGTGTCCAGACGTGGCCGTGGGGGCCCCGCTGGGGGCCGAGGGTCGCCGGGGGCTCGTGTTCATCTTCCGGGGGGGGGGCTCGGGGCTGCGGCCCCGCCCGGCCCAGCAGCTGCGGGGGCTGGGGGCGCCCCGGGCACAGCCGGACTTCTTCGGGGCCGCCCTGCGAGGGGCCACCGACCTGGACGGCAACGGCTACCCCGGTGAGGGACTGTCACTGTGTCACCTCCTGTGTCACCTTCCTGTGTCACTGTCACCCCCTGTGTCACCTCCTGTGTCACTGTGTCATCCCTGTGTCATCCCCGTGTCACCCCCGGCAACGGCTACCCCGGTGAGGGACTGTCACTGTGTCACCTCCTGTGTCACCTTCCTGTGTCACTGTCACCTCCTGTGTCACCTCCTGTGTCACCTCCCGTGTCACTGTGTCATCCCCGTGTCACCCCTGGCAACGGCTACCCCGGTGAGGGACTGTCACCTCCTGTGTCACCCCCTGTGTCACTGTGTCATCCCTGTGTTACCCCGGGCAACGGGTACCCCGGTGAGGGACTGTCACCTCCTGTGTCACCTCCTGTGTCACTGTCACCTCCTGTGTCACCCCCTGTGTCACTGTCACCTCCTGTGTCACCTCCTGTGTCACTGTCACCTCCTGTGTCACCCCCTGTGTCACTGTGTCATCCCCGTGTCACCCCCGGTAACGGCTACCCCAGTGATGGACAGTCCGTGTGTCACTGTGTCACCCCCTGTCACCCCCCTGTCACCTCCTGTCACCCCCAGGTCACCCCCTGTCCCCCTGTCCCTGTCCCCCTGTCCCTCTGTCCCTGTCCCTCTGTCCCTGTCCCCCTGTCCCTGTCCCCCCCCGGTGACCCCCCTGTCCCCACAGACCTCCTGGTCGGCGCCTTCGGGGCGGACACGGTGGCGGTTTACAGGTGAGTGTCACCTGTGTCACCTGTGTCACCTGTGTCACCTGTGTCACCATGTCACTGGTGTCACCATGTCACCGGTGTCACCATGTCACTGGTGTCACCTGTGTCACCATGTCACTGGTGTCACCGGTGTCACCATGTCACTGGTGTCACCATGTCACTGGTGTCACCTGTGTCACCATGTCACCGGTGTCACCGGTGTCACCACCGGTCCCTGACCCTCTGTCCCCCCCCAGGGGCCGCCCCATCGTCCACGCCAGCGCCACCCTGGCCATTGTCCCCACCATGCTGAACCCCGAGGAGCGCGGCTGCGTCCTGCCGGCCACCGGCCAGCACGTGCCATGGTGGGGACATGGGGACATGGGGACACAGGGGGACATGGGGGGACATGGGGGGACATGGGGACACCGGCCAGCACGTGCCATGGTGGGGACATGGGGACATGGGGACACAGGGGGACATGGGGGGACATGGGGGGACATGGGG